TTTCTATTCATCCATACATCCTACTGTCTGTCAATCTATCCATTTACCCATCAATCTATCTATCCATTCATTAATCCATCTTTCTTTTTAGCCATTCGTCCATCCATCCTTCTTTTTTGTCCATCAATCCATCTGTTCATCCATCCATCTATTTTTCTGTCAAACTATCCATCCATCCATCTATCCATCCATTCATCTTTCTATCAATTAATCTGTCCATCCATCTTTCTTTCTTTCTGATCTATTCATCTATACATTCATTCAGCTTTCTGTCCGTCCATCCAACCATTTATCTTTGATTTGTCTATCCATTAATTTGTACATTCATCCGTCCATTTGTCTGCATTTTTGTCCAACTATCCATCCATTCATCTTTATTTTGTCCATCCATACATCCATACATCTGTCCATCCATCCATTTTTCTTTCTGTTCCTTTGTTCACCTATCCATCCATCTATCCATCCATCCATCCATCCATCCATCCATCCATCCATCCATCCATCCATCCTTCTATCTATCCATTTTGTGCATCCATCCATCTATTTATCTCTATATCTGTCCATCTATTTATCCATCCATTTATCTTCTTTATTTTTCCAACCATCTAGCCATTCAATTTTAGTTTATTCATCTATCCATCTTTCTGTCCAGTTGTCAATCTTTTGTCAATCTATCTATCCATCCATCCATCCATCCACACTTTCATCCTTTTATCTATTCATCTTTTTTGTCCATTTGTCCACCTATTCATCCATCCATCCTTTCATTTTTCTTTCTGTTTATCCACCCATTCATATTTTGCTTCTATCCATCCATCTATCTTTCTTTCTGTCCATCCATCCATCTATCAATCCATCTTTAAAAGATTTTGTCCATTCATCTGTATTCCTGTTCATCTATCCATTCATCCATTTGATTTTATCCATCTATCCATCCATCCATCCATCCATCCATCCATCCATCCATCCATCCATCCATCCATCCATCCATCCATCCATCCATCCATCCATCCATCTGCTGTATCCACCTATCTATCTATCTATCTATCTATCTATCTATCTATCTATCTATCTATCTATCTATCTATCTATCTATCTATCTATCTATCTATCTATCTATCTATCTATCTATCTATCTATCTATCTATCTATCTATCTATCTATATGTCTGTCTGTCTGTCTGTCCGTCCGTCCGTCCGTCCGTCCGTCCGTCCGTCCGTCCGTCCACCTATTCATCCATCCATCCATCCTTTCATCTTTTTTTCTGTCCATCCACCATTAATCATTTCTTTCTGTCTATCCATCTATCCATCCTTGTCCATCCATCCTTTAATATTTGTGTCCATTCATCATTCTTTCTGTCCATCCATCCATGTGTATGTCCGGTTTATAAAATGTTTTAGTGTCATTGAGCTGTAGCATTATTATTTTCCACTCTCTCTTCAACCCTTTAGCCAGAAACTATGCAAATATTTAAGGGAATTCTTGCCCAGTACACTTCAAGCACACATTTTATAATGCAACAATGCATGAAATTGACCTTTAGTAGCCAGAAGTTCTAGATACTGCACTTTCAAACTCTCAGTGTAAATACAGTGGGTCATACATGCTCGTGTTCCTCACGTTCTCCCATAAGCTTCCTCTAAAGTCAGCATGACATTTACTTTCTCCACAGGCTCATAATGCCTCTCTTGTTGTATTTTACACATCATGCATCTTCCAACACTTTGATGATGGACTCCTACAGCTCTCCAGATTCATCCTTTCCAGTCTGTACAGCTCTGAAACAGTTATGGATGCTAATATAAGCATGACTTCCTTCCTTCATAATTCCAGCAGAGCAAGCCCTGCAGTCGTTTAAGTTATGAAGTGTTGAAACCCAGACACTCTGCTTTCTTGAATATCTATATAGAGTTTTTTGTAATCTACAAGGGTGCAGAGATGAAAAAGAAGTGTACGTGGGAGCCGCAACATCCAAATGAAAAGATATTTTAGAGCGCCTTCCTGCTGCCAAAACACTGAACGAATGATTGTTAATCCAGCAGTTCATCTTGATTTTGTTTATCCATCTGTTTGTTTGACCATCTATCTATCTTTCCATCCATATTTCTTTCTGTCCATCTATCCATCAGTCCACTTATCGTTATTTTGTCCATCCATCTGTTTGTTTGACCATCTATCCATCCTTCCATCCATCTTTCTTTCTGTCATCTGTCTATTCATACATCTTTCTGTCCATCTATCCATCAGTCCACTTATCGTTATTTTGTCCATCCATCTGTTTGTTTGACCATCTATCCATCCTTCCATCCATCTTTCTTTCTGTCATCTGTCTATTCATACATCTTTCTGCCCATCTATCCATCAGTCCACTTATCGTTATTTTGTCCATCCATCTGTTTGTTTGACCATCTATCCATCCTTCCATCCATCTTTCTTTCTGTCATCTGTCTATTCATACATCTTTCTGCCCATCTATCCATCTGTCCATTCATCTTTATTTTGTCCGTCCATTGGTTCATCCATTTTTCTTTGTCTACCAACCCATCCATTCATTCATCCACCTGTTATTCTTCCTGTCTATCCATCCATCCATCTATCCATCTGTCTTCTGTCCATCTGTCCACCTATCCAACCATCAATCCACCCACTCATATATCCATCCATCCATCCATCCATCCATCCAGTTATCCATCTTTCCATCTATCTTTTTGTCTATCTGTCCATCCACCCATCCATCCTTTTATCAATCTTTCTTTGTCATCTGTCTATTCATACATCTTTCTGCCCATCTATCAATCTGTCCATTCATCTTTATTTTGTCCGTCCATTGGTTCATCCATTTTTCTTTGTCTACCAATACATCCATTTATTCATCCACCTGTCTTTCTTTATATCCATCCATCCATCCATCTGTTTTCTGTCCATCTGTCCACCTATCCAACCATCAATCCATCCATCCATCCATCCATCCATCCATCCATTTTTTTCTGTCCATCTGTCCACCCATTCTTCCATCCATACATCTTTCTTTCTGTCATCTGTCCATTTATACATCTTTTGTGTCCATCTATCCATCAGTCCATTCATCTATTTTTTATCCATCCATCAATCCATCCATTCATCCATCCATCCATCCATCTTTCTGTCTGTCTATTCATCCATTCGTCTTTCTTTCTTTCTGTCTACCTATCGATCCATCTATCGATCCATTTTTTGCCTACCATCCATCCACCCATCTTTCTATCTATATATTCATCCACCCATCATTCTTTTTGTCCATCTATCCATCCATCCTTTCATCTTTATTTTGTCTATCCATCCATTCATCCATCCATCTTCGTCCATCCATCTGTCTGTGCACCCGTTTGTCCAGTCATTCGTCCATCCATCTTCTTTCTTTCTTTCTTTCTTTCTTTCTTTCTTTCTTTCTTTCTTTCTTTCTTTCTTACTTTCTTTCTTTCTTTCTTTCTTTCTTTATCCATCCACACATTAGTCTTTCCTTCTGACCATACATCCATCCATCCTTTTTTCTGTCCATCCATTCATTCATCTTTATTTCTTTCTATCCATCTATCTATCCATCCACCCATCCATCATCTTTAATTCGTATATCTATCCATAAAATCTTTTTTTTCCATCCAAATATCAATTTATGACTCCATCCATCTGTCCATCTTTCTTTCTGTTCGTTCATACATCAATTCATCTTTATTTCTATCCATCTATACATCCATCCATTCAACTTTGTTGTATATCCATCCATCCAATCTTCTTTCCGTCCAAAAATCCATCTATCCATCCACCTATCCATCTTTCTTTCTATCCATCCGTCTACTCATCCATTCATCTTTATCTATCTATCCATCCATCCAGTGATTTTTATTTTGTATATCCATCCGTCTAATCTTCTTTCCATCTATCTATCTGTCCGTCCATCCGTCCAGTGATTTTTTTTTTTGTCCATCTTTCCAATCTTCTTTCCATCTATCTTTTTTTTGTATATCCATCTGTCCAATCTTCTTTCTTTCCATCCATCTATGACTTCATCCATTTATCTGTCTGTCTTTCTTTGTCCATCCATCCATCAATTTATCTTTTTCTATCCATCTATACATCCATCCATTCATTTTTCTTTCTATCCATCTATCCATCCATCCATCTTTGTTTTGTATATCCATCCATCCAATCTTTTTGCATCCACGTATCCTTCCATTCATCCATCCATCTATCACTCTTATACATCCATCTGTCCGTCTTTCTTTCTGTCCGTTCGTCCATCCATTAATGTTTATTTCTATCCATCTATACATGCATGCATTCGTCTTTTTGTATATCCATCCATTCAATCTTCTTTCCATCCATCCATCTATCCATCTTTAATTTTTTCTATCTATCCATCTATCTATCTATCCATCCATTCATCTTTGTTATGTATATCCATCCATCCAATCTTTTTTGCATCCATCCATCCATCCATCCATCCATCCATCCATCCATCCATCTATGACTCCTATCCATCCGTCTGTCCGTCTTTCTTTCTGTCCATTCGTCCATCCATTAATGTTTCTTTCTATCCATCTAAACATTCATCCATTCATCTTTTTGTATATCCGTCCATTCAATCTTCTTTCCATTTATCTATGACTCCATCAATCCATCCATCTGTCCATCTTTCTTTCTGTCTGCCCATCCATCAATTCATCTTTATTTCTATCCATCTATACATCCATCCATTCATTTTTCTTTCTATCTATCTATCCATCCATCCAAACATCTATCAACCCATCCATATACTCCTCTTTATTTTTATAGTCTACAGAGGTGCAGCGATGGAAAAAGAAGTGTTCGTGGGAGCTTCGACATCCAAATAAATGGATATTTTAGAGCGCCTTCCTGCTGCCAAAACTCTGAAAGAATGATGGTGTGTGTTTGTGTGTATTTGTGAGTTTCAATAAATGAAAAACGAGTGTGTATTTTTTTACTTTTTTGAACGGCAGGCTGTGGACTATGAGAGGCGCAGCACGTACTCGCTCGCAGTGGAGGTGCAAAACCCCAATGTGGACTCGCGCTTCCTCAGACGAGGCCCGTTTAAGGACCGGGCGATGGTGCGAATCACAGTCCTGAATGCGGATGAGCCGCCGAGGTTTTCCAGGTCTCGATATCGACTGGATGTGTCTGAAAACTGTCCTCCAGCTTGTGTAGTAGGAAGAGTGACTGCCGTGGATCCGGATACCGGCCTCAGTAACAACATAAAGTATGATCATATATTTATACTTTTGTTTTTATATAATGCATGTCAATTGGTGAATCAGATATACAGTTGAATTATAAGCCCCCCTGTATATTTTTTCCCCAATTTCTGTTTCTGTTTAATGGAAAGTACACATTTTCTAAACATAATAGTTTTAATAACTAATACATAATAACTGATTTCTTTCACATTTGTCATGATGACAGTAAAGAATATTTGACTGGATGTTATTCAAGATGCTAGTATTCTGCTTTAAGTGCAATTTAAAGGCTTAACTAGGTTAATTCAGCAAGTTAGAGTAATTAGGCAGGTCATTGTATAACGATCGTTTGTTCTGTAGACAATTAAAAAATATATTGCTAAGGGGGCTCATAATATTGATCTTAAAATAGGTTTAAAACAATTAAAAACAGCATTTTTTCTAGCTGAAATAAAATAAATAAGACTTTCTCCAGAAGAAAAAATATTATTTGAAATATTGTGAAACATTCCTTGCTCTGGTAAACATCATTTGGGAAATATTTAAAAAAAGAAAAGAAAAATAAAGAAAAAAGTGTCACATTGCACTCAAATCTATGCAGAAGGTTAAATACTTTGCATGATTACATTATTTTAGGACTGTTGCGTTTCAAGTGTTCAATTTCATGTTAATTAATTATATTTGTTGTCTGAACAATACAGTTTTGAATGATTTATCATTATTCTCTGTGGTGATTTATTGGATTTTAGTTATGAGTCCTTTTACATTATTTTGATTATGCTTTATCAGTACAACTGAAGACACCATACACTAAGGAAAAATTAATTATAAGAGTGTTTCTTCAAAAAGGAATACATTTATGGCCTAGGGATGTTGCTTTTGCTAATTAAAAGTTATCCAAGTGCTATATTTTATTAATTATTTTGTCTCGTTTTGATGTCAAGGCTACATTTAAAACGTTTTTCGCAGGCCTTCATCGTTTATTTATGTAAGAAAATAAAATTAAATTCATTGTAAAAATTCTTCCAAAAATATATATTCTAAAAGTATGGTTTATAGTTAATATGGTCTGTCTGTGTGATTATAATATAATATAATATAATATAATATAATATAATATAATATAATATAATATAATATAATATAATATAATATAATATAACATAACATAACATAACATAACATATAATATAATATAATATAATATAATATAATATAATATAATATAATATAATATGATATGATATAATATAATATAATATAATATAATATAATATAATATACACTCACCGGCCACTTTATTAGGTACACCTTACTAGTATCGGGTTGAACCCACTTTTGCCTTCAGAACTGTCTTACTCCTTCATGGCATAGATTCAACAAGGTACTGTAAATATTTCTGAAAGATTTTGCTCCATATTGACTTGATAGCATCACACAGTTGCTGCAGATTTGTTAGATTGAGATCTGGTGACTGTAGAGGCCATTAGAGTACAGTGAACTTATGTTTCACAGTGAACTTATGATCATGTTTAAACAATCAGTCTGAGATGATTCACGCTTTATGACATGGCCAGTTATCCTGCTGGAAGTAGCCATCAGAAGATGAGTACACTGTGGTCATAAAGGGATGGACAACAATACTCAGGTAGGCTGTAGCTTTGACACGGTGCTCAACTGGTACTAATGGGCCCAAAGTGTGCTTAAAAAAATATATCCCACACCTTTACAGCACCACCTCCAGCCTAAACCGTTGATAACAAGGCAGGATGGATCCATGCTTTCATGTTGTTGATGCCAAATTCTGACCCTAAGCAGAAATCAAGACTCAAGCAGAAATCAAGACTCATCATGTCACTCATGTTTTTCCAATCTTCAATTGTCCAATTTTGGTGAGCCTGTGTGAATTGTAGCCTCAGTTTTCTGTTCTTAGCAGACAGGAGTGGCACCCGGTGTGGTCTTCTGTTGCTGTAGACCATCTGCCTCAAGGTTGGATGTGTTGTGCGTTCAGGGATGCTCTTCTGCATACCTTGGTTGTAACGAGGGTTTATTTGAGGTACTGTTGCCTTTCTATCAGCTGGAACCAGTTTGGCCTTTTCTCTTTTTCGGACCAAACCCTAGAGATGGTTGTGCGCAAAAATCCCAGTAGATCAGCAGTTTCTGAAACACTCAGACCAGCCGATCTGGCACCAACAACCATGCCACTTTCAAAGTCACTTAAAACACCTTTCTTCCCCATTCTGATGCTCGGTTTGAACTGCAGCAGACCGTCTTGACCATGTCTACATGCCTAAAAGCATTGAGTTGCTGCCATGTGATTGGCTGATTAGATATTTGCACTAACAAGCAGTTGGACAGGTGTACCTAATAAAGTGGCCGGTGAGTATAATATACTACTTGTCTCAAACTCAAACATTTCTTACAAGTTTTATACACAAGAATAAATAAATAAAAAGGTTTCATCAGAAAATTGAAGAAGAAATGTGACAAATATATCTTATAAACAGTAGGTTTTAATATATGATATTGTCAATCAAGCTGTAAATTTATTAAAAGGATGCAAAAAACACACATACAAGTTTTTAAATATTATAATAACAGCATACGGTTAACAATAGAAGGAATGTATGCATGTCTGTGCAATCAATCAATCAATCAATCAATAAAGTACAAATCTAATGGTATAATTTCTCAGTCTACATAAACAAAAGCACCTACATTTAAATTATTATTATTGTTTTGCATGACAGTAATGAGAATTATAGTATATTTTTTATTATCATTTCAATTCTGCTGTAAAATCTCACTAGAATTTGTTCTCGACATGTTTTAATAAGCTTTTCCTCACACTGCTCATGCAGTTTTTCATTATCAGTGTAAAAAAAACACTCATATTGCATCACGTTTCAGTCTGCAACAGGAAATCCGTGAGCTGTTTTCACTTCAAGCCGGTCGGTTTCGCTTGCTTAACTGCGTTATTGATGCACCGGCTTCTCTTTATATCTTGTAATCTGTCTGCCCTCCTCCTTTTATTCCTGTCCATTTCTTCTCAGGTACTCGATTGATCCCGAGTCGGACCCCGAGGCTCTGTTCCGCATCGCCTCTGACAATGGCCTCATCACCACGGCCATGGAATTGGATCGAGAGCAGGAGCAATGGCACAACATTACTGTCATCGCCACACAGAGAGGTACCAGAGCTCCTCGCCTCCGCTCTTAAAGGGACACGCCGTCAATTCTGCGCGCCTGACAATCTCACACAGGTCGCAGCGTGAAATCGGCCCACAGGAAAGCTATTACTGCTGCAGAGGCTCATCCGCAAACAGAGAAAAAGATAATCAAATGACAACTCAGATTGCTTTTAAAGTCCCCGTGAAATCAGAATTGAAGTTTTATAGGTGCTCATTTCACTATGTAAGCCTTAAAAGGGTTAGTTCACTCAAAAATAAGAATTTATACTTTTTTACTCACCGTCAAGGCGTCTTATTGTAGGTGTATATTACTGTCAACTTGAAGCCAAATCCAGTTGAAGTTAATTTTGAGTTATTTTAAGTGATCTTGGGTTTTTCCAGCTGATGGATGAATGGATGCAGCAGATGGATGGATGGATGGATACAGCAGATAAATGGAGGGATATAGCTTATATATAGCTAATACACACCTGATCAAACTAATTGAGTCCTTCAGGCTTGTTTGAAACGTACAGGTAAGTGTGTTGAAGTTGGGTTGAAACTAAACTGTGCAGGACTGCAGCCCTTCAGGAACTGGATTTGACACATGTTATACAGTAGATAGATGGATGGATGGATGGATACAGCATGGATGGATGGATGGATGGATACAGCAGATGGATTGATGAATGGATGGATACAGTAGATGGATGGATAGATGGATACAGTAGATAAATGGATGGATGGATATAGTGGATGGGTGGATGGATAGATGGAAAGAACCGATGGATAGATATATAATTGATAGATAGATAGATAGATAGATAGATAGATAGATAGATAGATAGATAGATAGATAGATAGATAGATAGATAGATAGATAGATAGATAGATAGATAGATAGATAGATAGATAGATAGATAGATAGATAGATAGATAGATAGATAGATAGATAGATCTTTATTTCTGCCATGGATGGATACAGCAGATGAATGGACGGATACAGCAGATAGGTGGATGTATGGACGGATACAGTACATGACATAGTAGACGGATGGATGGATGGATGGATGGATCAATCGATCGATATAGTGGATGGGGGGATGGATGGAAAGAGCGGATGGATGGATGGATGAATGGATGGATGGATGTATGGATCGATATAGTGGGGGTGGATGGATGGAAAGAGCTGGATGGATGGATTTAATAGATGGATGATGGATAAACTAGATGGATGAAAGGATGGATAAAGTAGCTGGATGGATATAGTTGATGGATAGATTGATGGATACAGTGGATGGATGGATGGATGGATGGATGGATGGATGGATGGATGGATGGATGGGTGGATAGATGGATGGATGGTTGGATGGATACAGCAGATAGATGGATGGATGTATGGATGGATACAGGGGATGGATGGATGGATGGATGGATGGATGGATGGATGGATGGATACAGTAGATGAATGGATGGATATAGTGAATGAATTAATATAAAAGTTGGATGGACGGAAAGAGCAGATAGATGGATGGATGGATGGAAAGAGCAGATAGATAGATAGATAGATAGATAGATAGATAGATAGATAGATAGATAGATAGATAGATAGATAGATAGATAGATAGATAGATAGATAGATAGATAGATAGATAGATAGATATTTCTGCCATGGATGGATACAGCAGATGGATGGACGGATACAGCAGATAGGTGGATGAATGGATGGATACAGTAGATGGATAGATGAATACAGCGGATAGATGGGTGGATACAGCAGATCGATGGATGGAAAAAGTAGATGGATGGATATAGTTGATGGATAGATGGATGAATGGTTGGATAGAGAGAGATAGATAGGTAGACAGACAGAGAGGCAGACAACTGATTGTGCTTAGTTTCTCACTTCTGCCAAAAACAATGAATGATATTTATGTCAATGAATTTCTATTCATTTCTGTCCAATCAAAAGCTGTCTGGCATCTAAAGTGTCCCACCCACTACTTAAAATGTCCCGCCCTGCATTCATGCTTCTATTGAAAAATCCTTCACACATCAAACAAAGCTGCGCGTATCCAAGTCTGGTCCATCCCAGCTCAAGGTCGGCCCGTTGTTCTCATAAAACACAATCTGGCGTCGTCAGAATGGATTTGTTCGGCTCATGTCCTGTAATTACCGTCATTTTAGACACACGCTCTGAACCCGATAAGTGTGGCTCGGTTATGGCTTTATGTAATGTCATATATTGGGAGCATCAGATGACGTTCGGGCCACTTCTGGCCGTGATGTAACGTTATGTCCCCGAAGTGCAAAGAGCGTACGGAGAACAGTAACGAGACAGATTCTGTTTCATGGTCAGTAGGATTTAGCTGACCTACTTGCGGCTTAAAAGCTTTTGATTTCTGACTTGCTTTGCTTGTTTTTTTATACGTGAGTTCTTAACATGCTGTTCTTTTCTCTTTCTTAGACAGCCCCAACCAAGTGACCAGGGTGGCTGTTTCCATCGAGACGCTGGACCTGAATGACAACAGCCCAGAGCTGGATAGACAGTACAACACAGCCGTGTGCGACTCCAGCACCGCCGGACAGGTCAGTGGCAGCGCTCTCACCCCAAGAGTGTGGAAGAAATGAAGGATGATCTGCTTCATCAGATTATTCTGGCCAAGACGCATCCATGGAAAAAAGGACACTTGCATGGGAAGCAGCAATAAGCCAATAGGACTACTTATACTACAGAAAAGTGGAATTCTGATAGGCTGGTTCCATGATACACTGACTTAGTTATTTCACCGTTAACAATCAAAAACCACATTAAACAGCTCAATTATTTAGATTGGTAACTAGTATTGTCTTAATTGTCTTAGAATTTGGTAACTGTAGTGACCAAATAGGGTATATGCCGAGCTAGTGCTGTTCCCATGCTGATACACTTCCGGTGACCTGTTATTGTGAACTTTTTCTCATTTTATACAGTTCCTTATACAGCATCAATGTTGTAATGTCATTAAAATACATTCAGTTAAATAAACTAGCATTTATTTGGTTGCTCAAGCATAAAACGAGACAAAAAGCCGTTTACTCGCACGCGCCCGTCAGAATCGGCAGGCTAACGCAGAAGCTCTATTGAATATACTGTGGTAAAATAAATGCTCATATTATAAATGTCACATCCGTCAGTGACCACCTGAGGGCGCTGTAGTGCACTAGGACTTTGTAGGCACTACAGCGTCCCAGGAAAAGAACTACATTTTCATACATGCCCCGCTCACACACCGGAACACCTACACTGACCTGTCATCACATCTGTTTTGTGTTGCCGTTGATTATCTGGACTATTTATACAACCATTTCACCTCAGTTTGTCATCGCGTCGTTTGTCTACCTTGTCTGTCTTGTTCCCAGTCCTGCAGTAAGTTTGATATTCTTAGTAGTTTGTTCCTGATCGTGTTTTTGTATTTTTGCTTAGTCTAGTTTTTCGAGTTTTGTTTCCTGAGCCTTGTCTCTGTTTTAGTTTCTGATTTTGTGGTTTATTTGTACTTTGAACGCCTTGTTTTATGTTTTTGCACTGTAAATAAATCTGCACTTGAATCCGCAATCTTTTGTTCCCGTTTTGATATTGTTTTGATCACGCTAAACGTGACAATAAAGATATGGCGGGGGAAATGTAATTTAATGCAGTGCTTCTTGTACAATCTGAGACCCACTTTAAATCAGATATCACTCAGCCAGATTTCCATCGCTGATTTTTAAAGAAAACAGACTTTAAACGCATCGGATTTTGCATTGGCGTTCAATTCGCCGGAGGAGCTTAACCCAGGTTACTGGCAAATTAAAAGTCCTATTAGCATGCTTCGCCATATACCCCATTGACTACATGCCTAGTTGACTAGTATTGACTACATGCTTTACATTGAGACCATATCATCACCTTGGGTCTGCATTATTTTCGAATAATTATTAAATGATTCAACATCAATTATTCCGTACTTAGTTTGAAATGTAAAAATATTCCTTACATTTATATAGCGCTTTTCTGAACACGGGGAATCTCCTTATCCACCATCGGTGTGCCACAATACATCAGCTGATCCATGGAAAGGAGACAGAGTGATGAAGCCAGTTATGATATGGGGATGGTGAGGAGGCCATGATGGACCGAGGCCAGTGGACAAATTTGGCCAGGATGCTGGGGTTAAGCCCCTGCTCTTTTCGAAGGACAGCCTCGGTTTAACGTCTCACTGAGCAGTATAGAGTCCCTATCAATATAATGGGGCGTTAGGACCCACACAGACCACAGGTTAAGCGCCCCCTGCTGGCCTCATTAACACCACTTCCAACAGCAACCTAGCTTTCCCTTATAGCAGGCGTGTCCAAACTACGGCCCGCGGGCCATCTGCGGCCCGCAATCAGTTTTGTGGCGGCCCGCGAGGCTTTTTATAAATATCAATAGAATCTGGCTCGCTATACAAAAATGAACGTAATTCAATAAATAACCACCGGGTGTCGCTATTACATGCATTCAATTAAGCAGCAGTTCTTGTTATGATCTATCTATCTATCTATCTATCTATCCACAGTTGAAGTCTGAATTATTAGCCCCTCTTTGATTTATTTCTTCTTTTTAAAATATTTCCCAAATGATGTTTAACAGAGCAAGGACATTTTTACCGTATGTCTGATAATATTTTTTCTTCTGGAGAAAGACTTTTGTTTTATTTCGGCTTGAATAAAAAGCGGTTTAAATTTTTTTATGAACCATTTTAAGGTCAAAATTATTAGCCCTTTAAGTCTTCAGAACAAACCATTGTTATAAAATAACTTGCCTAATTACCTTAACTTAACTAGTTAACTTGATTAACCTAGTTAAGCCTTTAAATGTCACTTTAAGCTGTATTGAAGTGTCTTAAAAATATCTAGTCAAATATTATTTACTGTCATCATGGCAAAGATAAAATAAATCAGTTATTAAAAATGAGTTACTAAAACTAATATGTTTAGAAATGTGTGGAAAAAAAATCTTCTCTCCGTTAAACAGAAATTGGGGAAAAAATAAACGGGGGCTAACAATTTAGGGGGGCTAACAATTCTGACTTCAACTGTATTTATATATATATATATATATATATATATATATACACGTGTCTGTGTGATGTATGTAAAATTTGGCCCGCGACAACGTTTGTCTTTTTGCATCTGGCCCTCGGCCCAAAAAGTTTGGACACCCCTGCCTTATGGTCTCCCTTCCTGGTACTGACCGGGCGCAGCCCTGCTTAGCTTTAGTGGGTGACCATGTGAGACTTGCAGAGAGCTAGCTGCTGAATAATAATGATAATAATAATAATAATAATAATAATAATAATAATAATAATAATAATAATAATAATAATAATAATAACAACAACAACAACAACAACAACAACAACAACAACAACAACGATAATAATCTCTTTATGACATGGTATGTTATCCTGCTGGAAGTAGCCATCAGAAGATGGGTACACTGTGGTCATAAAGGGATGGACATGGTCAGCAACAATACTCAGGTAGGCTTTGGCATTGACACGATGCTCGATTGGTACTAAGGGGCCAAAAGTGTGCCAAGAAAATATCCCCAACGCCACAATAACATGTGAAAAAACACTTAACCACAGCAAAATTACTGTTTATTATAAAAAATAAAATAAAAAGTTATTGACTATTTGAAATGCTTGATTATAACCAGTTCCCTAGTGATGGGTTGCAGGTGGAAGGGCATCCGCTGCGTAAAACAGATGCTGGATGAGTTGTCGGTTCATTCCGCTGTGGCGACCTCGGATTAATAAAGGGACAAAGTCGAAAAGAAAATGAAAGAATGAATAAATAGAAATGGTCAATATCAGCATTCTGCTTTAAAATAAAATAACAACAAATCAGAGAAAGAAATTCACAATAATTGAGTTATATATTTAGATATATAAAAATGATATTTATAAGAAAACTCTCAGTACTATTGTAACTATTGCAATCCCCCATGACTGGGGAACTACGCTTTTTACTCATCATAGCACACGTGCTGCTGATGATGTGACAATAAAAGTGATTTGATTTGATTTAATACATATATACTGAGCATCAGAGTGGGGGGAAAAGGGTGATTTAAGTGACTTTGAAAGTGCCATGGTTGTTGGTGCCAGACGGGCTGGTCTGAGTATTTCAGAAACTGCTGATCTACTAGGATTTTCACGCACAACCATCTCTAGGATTTACAGAGAATGGCTTGAAAATGAGAAAATATGCAGTGAGCGGCAGTTCTTTGGGTGCAAATGCCTTGTTGATGCCAGAGGTCAGAGGAGAATGGCCAGACTGGTTCCAGCTGATAGAAAGGCAACAGTAACTCAAATAACTACTCGTTACAACCGAGGTCTGCAGAAGAGCATCTCTGAACGCACAACACGTTTAACTTTGAGATGGATGGGCTACAGCAGCAGAAGACCACACCGGGTGGCACTCCTGTCAGCTAAGAACAGGAAACTGAGGCTAAAATTCAGGCTTGCTCACTAAAATTGGACAATAGAAGATTGGAGAAACATTGCCTGGTCTGATGAGTCTCGATTTCTGCTGCGACATCCTGATGGTAGGGTCAGAATTTGGCATCAACAACATGAAATCATGAATCCATCCTGCTTTGTATCAACGGTTCAGGCTGGTGGTGGTGGTGTAATGGTGTGGGGGATAGTTTCTTTAGGCCCATTTGTACCAATTGAGCATCGTGTCAATGCTACAGCCTACCTGACTATTGTTTCTGACCATGTCCATTCCTTCATGACCACAGTGTACCCATCTTTTGATGACTACTTCCAGCAGGATAACGCACCATGTCATAAAGCATGTATCATCTCAGGTTTCTTGAACATGACAATGAGTTCACTGTACTCAAATGGCCTCCACAGTCACCAGATCTCAATCCAATAGAGCACTTTTGGGATGTGGTGGATTAGGAGATTTTCATCATGTATGTGCAGCCGACAAATCCACAGCAACTGTATTATGCTCTCATGTCAATATAGAGCAATATCTCTGAGGAATATTTCCTGTATCTTGTTGAATCTGTTCCATAAAGGAGTAAGGCAGTTCTAAAGGCAAAAGGGAGTCCAACTCGGGACTAGTGTGGCTAACATCTTGTTTTAACAGTGTTAACATTTCTAATGCATCTTATCACGTTGCCTTTAAGAAAATAGTGGCAAAAGCATCTTGATAATATAAAAGCTACATCAAACTATCAGAATCTGATGATTTGCATTGGTCAATAGATGCATTAAACTAAACAAATATATATGATAATGATAAAAATCCCAACTTAAATAAAAAAAATGTAATATTTTATTAAATATTGTATTATGCACATGTTTTTCTAATGTCATTTATTCATTCATTCATTCATTTTCTTGTTGTCTTAGTCCCTTTATTAATCCGGGGTCACCACAGAGGAATGAACCGTCAACTTATCCAGCACATTTTTACGCAGCGGATGCCCTTCCAGCCGCAACCCATCTCTGGGAAACTCTTGTCATTTGGAGTTTAGTAAATAGAGGCAAAAGCAATATGATAAAACAAACCTAATGTTTAATAAATGGAAATAAACAATTCATCTGCCAAGTAATAACTGAGATGCTCCACTCTGACTGGTCAGCAGCAGCATTCTTCATTAGCATATTATTGTATAATTAACCGTCACCCCAGGCAACAGTTTCTCTTCTCATATTAAAATCATCAACACTGGCCTCCTGATTGCACGTCTGCTCATTTATTCATGTGGCAAGCGTCTATATAATAAGAATTATGTGCATTCAGCCAGACGTTACTGCAGAATCCCTTAAGCGTAAGACCTGAATCCTTCTTTCTGAACATCCTGTCGAGGGTTTATTTGCCAATAAAGGTCTTTATTTGTAGTACCTACAGCACTATATGTGACCATGCTAATAGGATGTCTGAATACTGAGCATGCATGCGTGTTGTCAACAAAGGCATATCAGAGCAGCGACAGTTTTTTTAACCGAATGATGCGATTACCGACGCCAGTGCACAATGAGTCAGAATAAAACATGACGCGCTGGGTTATTCCTGATCTGGACTGTAGCCTGGGTTTGAAAAGTGTTGTTTGTGTCATAATAATTACAGCTACTACTAAATGAATTCTTCCAGGACACTGTTCTGCAGATCTGTTTTATGAGGATTATAATGCTGATGTTTTCATAGCATTTGACACCGTTTTAATATTAAAAGATAATATTGGAATGATAATTGTGTTTGTTTTTATAAATGTAGTCTCTTCGGCAATAAACTAACCCTGTTTTTTTATTTCAGCTGGTTAGTTTCAAGTGAAAGAGATGCAGTGTTAATGAATAAATAAATAAATAAATAAATAAATATATATATATATATATATATATATATATATATATATATATATATATATATATATATATATATATATACACATACATATATATACACACACAAAATCGGGTTAAATTCCATGTCAACAGCTCCTTTAGAATATACTTCCCTGTAAAAGAACATGACATGTTGAATATTGTTCATATATATATATATATATATATATATATATATATATATGTATAATGTGTGTATATATATATATATATATATATGTATATGTATATGTACATGTGTGTGTGTGTGTGTGTGTTTGTGTGTATATATTAGGGTTGGGCATCTAAGCTATAATGCCGATCCGATACGCATCTCGATACAAAGAATACGATCCGATATATTAGCAATACATTTGTGACATATTGCGATGCAACACGATACGATTCACACCCATATCACGATACAATGCGATAATTCAGCACTAACTAATTAAATCAAGTTTATGAGATGATGTAAGAAAGGATGCTGTGCCATTGAATGAGTTTGATTATTTATTAACCAAGCAAAACCAAGACTTTTTTTACAAACTGGCTTTTCTCTCAGAGCCAGAGTGTCAGTTTACAGTAGAGGGCCATTTTAGAACCTATAGCACATATTTTTTAAGTATTTCCAAGATAAACAGAATGTATAAGTGCAATATATATTATAAATGTATATATTTGCACTCTTTCAACATAAAGGTTTACCATTGCACAACAAAAATTGTGATTTAACTTTTCAACTATATAAACAAGTTTTACAAAGATATATTTTGCCACTGAATATTAAAAACTTAAGGTCGTGAACTAGCAGTGTTATGTTGCTTTGAAACATCACTATCACTGTAAACAACAGGCTAATAAAAATATACATAAATAAAAATTAACAGAAGGTGTTTAAAACCTTCGTTCTCCGTAACACTAGGCTGAATATCTTTGCAGATGAACAATGCAATAGCATTCGTTACTGGCGTAGAGCGAGCAGAACTGTTGCGCATGGAGAAACATTCAATGCTTTTCTCACCACTTTTGGAGCTGGTAGCTACAGTTGAAGCAGAGCAAGAATCCGGGGATGCAGGGACACTGGAAGATGCTTCCACAACAACACCATGGCGCCGCTTCAAGTGAGATATCAGATTAGTCGTACTGCCCGTGTATTTTACAGATGCACATTTTGCAAATTGCATCTGTCCTGTCAAGTCGTCCATCCTTTTTGCAGAATCCATAATGTTGCCATACTTTAGATTTAAAACTCAGTGAGGAATAAGATGTTTGTTTTGCTTCTCGCGCTTTCTGAGGGTGCACCACTAGCTTCATCCGCACACCTGATACACTGAGTTGTAGTGTAAGTGTACACATCCGCAAGTCCGTTGCTAATGCATACTTTATGTAGGTCGATTAAATTATGCGCCAAAAACAGGTTGACAACACTGGTAATAAATAAAAAATACATTCTATATTAAAAATATAAGTTGTATCTTGGAAAAAACGATGCATCTCGCAAAAACCGATGCATCTCGATTTGCTTCCAAAATTTCATTCATCCTCTGCTGCTCTACCGATGCACTCGCATCGTGCATGCGCATGACCGTGTATCGATACATATCGATGAATCTTCCCATCCCTAGCATATATATATATATATATATATATATATATATATATATATATATTTATATGTATATGAACAATATTCAACATGTCATGTTCTTTTTTCTGGGAAGTATATTCTAAAGGAGCTGTTGACATGGAATTGAACCAGGTTTTGGTAAAAGCCCAAATAATAAAAACATAAAAATTATATAAAAGAAATACATAAAAATAAATATGTGTAATGACAGTGTGATTACACAAGGAGAAAATACTGAACTACTGAAATGTTTTTAATACTTTCTATTAGTGATGGCAGCTTAAAAAAGCCTCTCATATGGAGAATGAAGTTATATACATTGCTTGTGTGGGTTTCAAATCTTGTGTGTACAAATACTGATTCTGTTTGTCTTGTCTATCAAATCTGAGCTTTATTTTGTATTCTCTATCGGATTCAAGTCAGGTGATTGGCTGGGCCATTCTACAGCTTGATTTTCTTACTCTAAAAGCATTTGAGAGTTTCCTTGGCTGTGTTTTGGAACATTGTCTTGCTGAAATGTCCATCCTGGTTGTATCTTTATTCTCCTGCTAATGTAGATGTTGGACTGATATGCATTTACAGTGAAGAAGGGCAGATGGTTGCTAAAGAACTACTGAAAGATTTCAGCTGATGTCTGGGCTTTGACTGCCTTTCTACACCTCCCTTTCTTCATGTGTGCAATACTGTTTTACTGTGTCATTTTATTACGTAACTTAATTTTTAAACTAAGTAATATTGCTTGCTTTGCATATATGGATTTCTTAGGTTATCAACATTTCGTAAAAAAATTCAGGTCAACAGCACCTTTATAAATATATCTTCAGAGAAAAATAGTGACGTGTTCAATAATTATTTTACCCACTGTATAAAGTACTCTGCAAACATCTTAGACCGCAAAAAAACTTTCGTTTTTTAAGTGAAACATTTATATAGACCTCATAGCTGGCTACAGGCCTGGTGCTGTTTTCTATTAACATATCACTGTTTGTTTATGTGTTTTTCAGGTGGTGCAGGTGATTCGAGCAGTAGATAAAGACCAAAGCAGCTCCAACTCTCCCATTCACTTCAGTATTCCTGCAGAATCCAGCGGTTCCCTCAACTTCTCCATCAGAGAGCGAGGAGGTGTGCTTTTTTTTTCTATTCTCCTGTCGTCCATCAGTCTTTCGTCTCCATCAGTTTTCTTCATCTCCATTGCGCTCTCTGTCCAGACGTATATCCTCCTTCATTACGCTCATGCATTTATCTTTTTGTCACATTCTGCTCCGCTGAACACGGCCAGCTCCCGTCTCTGTGCTCCGGCAAGCCCTTCTTTCATTTCGCTCATTTATCCCTTTTCCCAGCTTCAATCTGAGTGCTAATTTGCTTAAAGGAATAGTTCAGGCCGAAATTCATCAAACAATTCATCATTCATTATGGTTAAATTCACATGACAAAAGACAAAAGGAGAAATGTGAAAAATCTGGTGTGAGGAAAAACATTTATTATATATTTTAAGATGCATTTATACATTGTATATATTTCTTTTAAGAATATGCGCAATATCACACTCGTAGCAGTGCAATACTGCTGTGCAATATCGGTATCTGCTCACAGTGTGATATTGTGTTTATGCAACAGTTCAACAGCGTAATCGTGTATATAAAAAAGAAAATCAAACACGGAGAGTCTCAAAAACCTTTTTGTATTAGGAACTACTTTCTTCCGCCGTTCGTACACATCTGCAGCTGATGTCAGAACAGCAGAAACTGTTGCTAATGAACAAACGTCACTTTAGAACTAGTTTTTGAATGATTCTCTAGTGTTATGTCTAAAGTGATGACAAAACAGCTGATTTTGTTCACATTTTAAGATTATAAGGCTGAACGGCATGAAATGCCAGAAAAGAGAAAGTTCAACTTAAAAAGTCACTTACCTGTGCTGTAATGATTTACTCAGCTGTAGTTTGAACCATACGCTGAAATAATGTTGTGTTTGTCTTCTAAGGACTTTTTATGCGGTCTCTGTCACCATCTTGTGGCGAACGTCAACCGTCTTTGCTCTGCTCGGTATGGCAGGCTGATGGCTGCCAACGTGCTGAATCTCCGAAATTATAAATATTTAATATAAGCACTATCCTTATAAATAAACAACACAGTTGCAATCTAAACAACTCCATTCTCATCTAAAAAGCCTTTAAAAGTACATTATGTTGTACAAAGCTGCAATATTTGTCAAACTGTAGTCTACTTCTTGCCACTTGTGTGGGCGAAGTAATACACAAGGGTGAAGAGGCTGTACGAGTGCTGATATCACTTGTTGATATTTTCCCTTGTTGTTGGGAAAATATATTTTATATTCAGAAATTTGACGTTGACATGCTAAAATTACTTTAACATTTTGTGTCATGTCCACATGCGTCCTCATTCATTTCACTTTTTGTGTGTAGAGTATGAGTTTGCTCAATGAGCATGAGCAAATAGGTCATGGTTTCATAGTGTTTTATTGCAAATAGTTTTTATTTTTTTACATGATTTTTTTTAGAGCTCAAAATTAACGATGTACCAAATTTATTTCTATAACCACAAGAATTATTTCTCAGCCACAAATTTTTAATGTGTCAAAACAAGCAAAGTATAGCTGTATACTATACTTTTTATTTAACAAAACATTTCTTAAAAAAGACAGAAAAGCAATTGACTTTTAAAATGATGATTTTTTTTTTCCTTCCAGACCACACTGCAAATCTGGTGCTCTTGTCACCCCTGAAGGCTCTTCCTCGCTCTTCCTCTTTACCCACCCTAAAAATACCCATAATGCTCCGTGACGATACGTCAGACCTAAGCAGCACAGGAACTATTACAGTTACGGTGTGTCCGTGTCAGAATGGAGGGATGTGGGCTGAGGAACAAAAACCACAAACAGACGACAAGGATAAAACGTCAGTGGCGGACTGGGAGAAACAGACGGTGTGTTCACTGCTACCATCAAACTCACCGCTGCTGGGAGTCAGTTCAGCTGCCATGTTGGCCATCCTGGCCTGTGCCTCCACTCTTCTAGGTCAGTGTTTCACAATATGGGTCTCACTTCTTGTTTGGGCAACTTCCATTAAAAAAAGGCTGAGACATATGGATCCTTTTCACATATCCGGGTTTCTCAGTAGTGAAAGTCATCAAACTTGGATCAACTTAGGGTTAGGGTTAGGACCACAGGAGAGTCCAACAATTATTTGTTTTACAATCCTATTTGCTGAAATAGTGTTGTGTTTCTCTTATAAGGGATTATTATGCGGTCTCTGTCACTATTTTGCGGCAAGGTTGCCAGGTTGAAACCGGAAGTGGTGTTAGTGTGGCCAGCAGGAGGAGCTCAACCTGCTGTTTGTGTGGGTCCTCACGCCCCAGTATAGTGAAGGGGATTTTATACTGCTCAGTGAGCACCGTCTTTCGGATGAGACAATAAACTGAGGTCCTGACTCTCTGCAGTCTTTTAAAATCCCAGAATGTCCTTCAAAAAGAGTAGGGGTTTAACCCCGTCATAATTGGCTTCATCACTGTGTCTCCTCTCCAGCAATCAGCTGGTGTGTGGTGTGCGGTCTGGCGCAAAATGGCTGCTGTCACTTCATCCAGGTGAATGCTGCACACTGGTGGTGGATAAGGAGACCCCCCCTCATCCCCCAAACATGTGTAAAGGGCTTTGAGTGTCCAGAAGAACTCTATATAAATGTAAGAAATTGTTATTATCATTATTTATTATTATTTTCAAGACTGTCAGAAAAAAGAAAAAGAATAGTGTGAGGCTGATAACGGCAGCCAAAAGTGAGAACAATGCCAAATTTACTGTCCTGCCCCCATAGACACTGCATTTCAAACGCCTCACACAATAGGTAATTCCATTTTTGTCATTTGTTGCAGAGATGATATAATGCATGCATAGATACAAACAAATGTACATACATTTTCAGAATATTTTACTGTTTAAAGAAACACTTTTTTGAAATCAGTGATAAATTCTAAATTCATTCATTCATTTTCTTGTCGGCTTAGTCCCTTTATTAATCCTGGCTCGCCACAGCGGAATGAACTGCCAACTTATCCAGCAAGTTTTTACGCAGCGGATGCCCTTACAGCCGCAACCTGTCTCTGGGAAAAATCCACACACACATTCACACACACACTCATACACTACGGACAATTTAGCCTACCCAATTCACCTGTACCGCATGTCTTTGGACTGTGGGGGAAACCAGAGCACCCGGAGGAAACCCACGCAAAGGCAGGGAGAACATGCAAACTCCACACAGAAACACCAACTAAGCCAAGGTGCGACCCAGCGACCTTCTTGCTGTGAGGTGACAGCATTACCTACTGCGCCACTGCCTCGCCCTAAATTCAAAATTTTATAACTAATTTTATAGCCTTAACCCTTAAAGACCGAGACAGCCGCCCGCGGCTAAAAATAAGTATTGCTCTTAAATGTTTAATAACTTTTGATCCGCTGATCCGATTCATACAATTCAAAGATTGGCATAAAGAAGAGAATCTCAGCTTTCCAGTGCTGTATCACATAACATTCGCGGACTTTCAGAGGCTCCGGGATCAGTGCGGTTACGTCATCAAAATTTGACAACGCTGATTTGACTAAGAAACGCTCGTCACTGTGTCTCCGGACAAACCAGACATCATACATTGATGCATTGTCCCTCCTCCATGCCCAGATTGGTTCAAACTCGCTATATGACAACCAATAAGCATAGGTTTCACTTTTGTTTGTGGACCAACAAGCTTTTTGAACAACACGGAATGAGAGATACATGAGGCATACATTTATGCGCGGCTAAATAAAACGCAAAAAAAAAATGTTTTGCATGAAATAATTCTCATACTAAGTACTTTTGCATGCACAGCAGCACAGAAACATGACAAAACAGTGATACAGCAAAGACGAACTGCTGCTCTTGCTGTTTTCAAAAGACGCAAATGAAGGTGCAGCTGTTTGTCTGCATTGCAGACAACCATATCCAAATCCATATCCACAGACAACCATATCCATGCTGGCACATAAAACCTAAGGATGTTCCATATTGAACCTAGTTTAGTTATGTAACTATTTATGGTATAGTAAATATTTATATCTATTTTTTTTTACTGAGGATTTGCACCATGTTTATTTGGACTTTGACACATTATTTATTATTTTCTTAATTTTTTTTTATTTGTTCATTGTAAGGGGTGTTGTTTATAGTAACTGAAAATATATTATTTGGAAAAAGTCAAATTTGCTTCACTGTTCTATTATTTTGTAACATTTTTTTTTCTGTTTAGTTCATTCCCAGAACTTTTGGGGAAAATACATTGTCAGTAAATAAATGCATTTTTTTCTCCCATAGAAAAACGCCTTGGAATAACATTGAAATAAATTGCTATAACTTGCTCAGGGAATTGTGGATGTAGACAAAATTTATTTTGGAAGTATAAAACATCATAGCATGTATTTCTAAAGAAAGAAAAACAAACTTCATAAGGTTTTGTTTGAAATAACTAGAAAATGCCACTTTTTTTAAAAATCGTTTCTGGAAAATTCTGGAATATTTTCTGTCTGTTCATATGTTTTTGGACCAAAAAATATTTTAGACTGGACCTTTAAATGATATAGATTGAAACTTCAGGTTCTCCTGTTTAAAATGATATATGACACTTGAGGCTGACTGCTAAAATAAAAATAAAACTGCTTTTAAAAAAAATAATAATATAGGCCCATTAGGTGCCCACAAAATACCTCTAGGTCTTTAAGGGTTAAATGCTTTAGTTTTTACCATTATTGAATCCATTAATTCGATCTTCGAGTCTAATGGGATCACTTTTAGCCAACACAGGCTCATTGTGGATATGTACCCCTGTCTACAATTCTGGAGAGCATGAATTATGTGGCCAGAGGTTTGTCTGGTTGCTCAGTTTGCCTATAGTTGCTCACCTTATACACAGATGGACAAGGGACGCGTCGCTTAGTTGACCACAACAACAGGGTTCAAGTCCGGCGAAGAACAGTTCCAGAAACCAGATAAAACAAAAGCAGACATCACAAGTGTCCCGGAAGTTCCAGGAGTTTTCCGCAAATGCACAGAGACTCCCGGATGCCTGCAAACAAATGATAATCTCCCCGAAATCACGCGTCTCCCGCCCGGTCCTCAAATATGTCGCACACCCCTCTCCACCACATCCCACCCCGCTATTCAGATACGTCGCACGAATACGTTGTTAAAAATGTTTAGAAAAACTTAAAGGATATGTTTGTTGAAACCAAAAAGAGAACAATATTAATGATATAACATAGTTCTGAAAACTTTCTACTTCTCTGTTTATCTGTCTGATTTTAAGGTCAGTTTCTTCTGGCCGCCCCCTGTCGTTTTAAAGAATATCACAACGGCGAACTGGCAAGTATAAAAACCTCGTCCGTTTCACGAAATGCGTGCGCAGTCAGCGAAGGTGCACAATATGTCGACAGAAGAAAGTATAAATCCAGCTTTAGTTGCAAGCTGGTCGGCTGAAGTTTATATTGCGCCCTGTGGTGGAATTACGTGAGAAGAGAGAAATTTAAGATCATGAAAAAACATACACAGCGAACAAAAACTGCGAGCAGACTTACCTCCAGTTACGTTTTTTGCTGTCCCCAGAAATGTAGACCTGGGTACGGATCTATAATGAGCCTGGGTTGCTTTTAGCTTAGCTTAGCATAAATCATTGAATGAGATTATCCATTAGCATCTCGCACACCAAAGAGTCAATAATTTCCATATTTAATGTTTGACTTCTGTAGGTACATTGTGTAATAAGACTGACAGAAATGAGAACTTGTTATTTTCTAGGCTGATATGGACATACTCTCATTCTGCTGTAATAATCAAGCTAGTTTCCTGCTGTACCATTGTGACTACATAATTTGCTACATGTCCTCACCAGAGGATTATATTCACAGACACTGCCAACATTATTTGAACATTGTGAAACATAACAGTTTCACTGATTTTACACTAGAGCTTATTTTAAAGTCTTAGTGAATCAGACATTCCTGGGACTTTTTTTATCTCAGTATGTTGATTGTACTAACTAAAATGAAATATTGAGCAGGGGGCGGGGCTTTCTTTTGCGCATCATTCCCTAATAGCAAATTAACAGTATAAGAGGGTATTAATATACAGTTACTATGGAAGCTCTCAGGTTGACATCAACAGAAGCAAATGGTGAGACTGTAAATGAAGAGTATCAAAACAAACTATTTTTTTTTAAGTGGATTACCTTGCACGGATTAATCATCCCCCTTAGAAATAACAATGTGAGCTAAATTTGGATTTCATGTGAACTTTAATACTCACATCATCTGACAGTCATGCACTTAAAAAAATTGATTATGGGAAGTTTTAAATGGCAAAGCTTTAAAACACATGCGATTGTTTGTTGATAGTCACCACCTGTAAAGACTCCGCCCTCTTCAGGAAAGGGGATGGGCAGCAGCAGCTCATTTGAATTTAAAGAGACGCACAAAAAAAAGCTTGTTTTTATTTCAACCCAAAAAATGGCATGAACAGCATGATATAATAGATAGTCTGTGAGGTAGTTTGAGCTGAAACTTCACAGACACATTCTGGGGGCACTTGAGACTTATGTTACATCATGTAATGATGTGTTGTTGCTACATCTGTCCATCACTCCTAGTCTTCATCCGCCATTGCCTCCTGGTGTGTCTTGAAATTGCTGCATTTCCTCTGTATATCTGAGGTTTTTGTGGGTCGCTCGAACTTTCCGCCAACCTGCCTTCGTTGTTTCTGCTCTGTTTGTCAGCTCGGGCTTGCTAATGAACGTGTTTGGGTTTCATTTCTGCACTAAGCTGGTCCTAATAAATAGCATTTGATGAGCGCTGACGGCAATCATATGGCATTTGGAGATTGCAGAACAACCCCATCCCTCCCTCGGGGTTCCCTAAATGACAGTGAACACCGAAACTTCACTAATTCATCAGCTGGTGCTGAAATTGAGAGGTGGAGTGGGCATTTTACACAAATACAC